GATAAGGATATTAATGAGACTATTTTAATAGAAACCAATTTTAATAGATCTAAGATCCAAACCAGAAGATCTATCAAATGGGATGAAATAGTTTTCCCTGAAGGATGGTTTCTAGATAGGAATATTCCTAGACAACCTATTGTTCAAAGTGATTTTAGTAATATCACTCAGACAGACGATGGTACTGTCTATATCCAATTCGATGATCCTCGCAATATTCCCTATACAGAGACCAGACCTCTTTTAAGGTCTCAATCATTATCCCATGGCATTCATAGCTTTATTTCTCCTTTTGGGACTAAAGCTAGCCAGCCTTCTAGGGCTTCAACCTCTTATTTACGRGATACTCAAGCTCAATCTTCTGAGCCAGAAGAGCAAATTGAATCCTCTTCTCAACAACCTTTTGATGAACTCAGAGTTCATAAAAATGGTATTGTTCATARCAATCCAGTTGCTCAAAGAAGTAACAGACAACCTCATAGGGTTATAGAGACCATGTCTGATATTAATCTATAAGTTTTAATGATTTTTTCTTCTTCTAGGAGTTGGGTCACTAGTGAGGGAAAAATAGATTTCACTCATGGTTCTCCTGCTAGACAGCTTGTCTGCAATGATTATTATGGAAATCCGAAATGGGCTTCTTTTCGGACTTGGTATGTTGAAAACTTTTCAAAGCATGAAATTGCTAATTTCTCTGCAGAATTTTATGCCTTCTGTACTAAGGAGAATGAAACTTTCTCTTTTATTCCCTGGTTTTTCCATACTCATGTAAAACATTTTATAAATGTTCTTCAAAGGGATTATCAACTTCTCAATGGGGATATTAAATCCACTATTTATCCTCCTCAATCTCCTTTTCTTATGAAAAGCAATAATTCTTTCTTCCGCTTCTCTGCTTTTTCCAATCTTATAAAAGATAATACTCTTACTGTTACTTCGTTACATATTAACGAACTTCTTGAAAAGCAGAATTACTCTAATCTTTTGTTAAAAATTATTGGAGAACAACTTTTTTCTATTGAGGATAATATTTCCTTAATCTTAAAAAAWWTTTCTCAAATTGAGACAAATCAGCAAAATCAAATTAGTCCTCCTGCTGATGATATTTCCTCCTCTTCTGAGTCTGTTGTTTTAACTTCTAATACTATTCAGCCTCCTCCTGAAATCACTGATTTCAAGCTTAAATCCCCGGCTGAARATTTTATGAAACARCTTGATCAAAAACTTTCACAYTTGCATATTTCTAACCCTTCCATTTCCATGCTTAATAAGGATCTTCTTTCTGACTCCAGGATAGATAATTCGGATGATAGTTTATATAATAACCAAATTCATAAAATGAAATGGGCTAAGACTCCGAATCTTAATAAATATTATTATAATCGTCCTAGTCCTTTGGATGTTCTTCATGAAGAACAGGAGTATATTATTAATAATAGTTATAATGGTAAATGTATTTATGAATGGAACCTTGATGGGTTTGCTGATAAGCATATTTATAATATGGCTCATCGCATGTTCATGTATAGTACAGTTTGTAAGAACACAGGCAATAATGATAAAAACATTGCCAAAATGATTATAGCTGGTTTCACAKGTCAACTCAAAGGTTGGTGGGATAATTATATTCCCCTTACCCAGAAAGAYCAAATTCTTAACTCTGTTAAGACTGAAAATGGTGAAGAGACAACAAATGTTGTCTATCCCTTAGTTCTTACTCTCATAGAGCATTTTACTGGTAGGTTTTCTGATAACAGTGAARATATTCAAACCCTAATCAGTAATCTTYGATGTAAGACTCTTACAGAATTTCGTTGGTACAAGGATACGTTTCTTTCCCGTATCTTTGAGTTAAAAGATTGTAATAACAGTCATTGGAAAGCCAAATTTATAGATGGCCTTCCTCATCTTTTTGCTGAAAGAGTCCGCAAGATTCTTAAAAAGGATTCTACTTCTGTTAATTATGATGATTATACTTAYGGTCAGCTMATCAGTACTTGTATTGCAGAAGGTCTTTCCCTTTGCAATGATTTGAAATTAAAACATCAAATCCGAAAGCAAAATTTGCTTCAAMGAAAACAGCTTGGTGATTTTTGTGACCAATTTGGTATGGAGGTTCCTTATAAGAAACCTAAAAGAAAATTTCATAAAACTCRCGATAMGGATTYTGGTTATCGCCATTATAAAAAAAGGTTTAAGAGAAAAACTTTTGATAAAGATTTACAMAAATCTCACAGAGCTGAAGACTCTAAAAAACCTGATGTTTCCAAATATAGAAAATCTTTCAAAAACTCTCAGGGTTTTAAGAAAAACAAAATTGTTTGTCAAAATTGTGGCAAGATTGGCCATTCTTCAGCAAATTGTTGGACAAAGAAAAAGATTAATAATTTAAATATTGATCAGACTACGAAAGATTCTCTTTTAAACATCTTTCTAAATTTTAAAAATTCTGATGAGGAGCCTGATCCTGATGATTKTAGCTCTGCTAACAGTTCTGATGTTGCAGAGACAGATGATTCTGTCGATGATTCTTATTTATCTTCTGACCCTGAAGATTTAAAATCTTCTCCTTGTGATACTTGTGCTATTGGTCAGCCTTGTATTAAAAACTGTTTAAATGTTATTCATAATAACACTTCTACTGACAGCAATGATGAGTTTTATAAAATATTTATTAAAATTTAAAAATAGATAGAATACTAATAGTCTAGTAAAACAACTAATAAACGATCAAAGTGTGCTAATTTTTGTAAGTAGTAGTTCTTTTTCTTTTATTAATAACAATCTTGTAAGTTATAACTCTGTTAGTTATTTAGATTAATAAATATATATTTATCAATTAAAGTGTGGGTATGAAGTTAATTACATACAAAATGCATAAACCACTAATAGGTATCATCTCAAATTGGGGATTTTTTTGTAAATTAGCCACTTAGTTCTTTTAGCACAAAACATATAAACCGTATTGCATCGTAAAACGGTTTGAGGAATTCGCTGCTAGGTTTGTGGTTTGGAAAAATGACCAAACCGATCTTGGGGTTTGGTTTGCGGTTCTGGCGTTAAACCACACCTTTAGCAAAGAAAAAAAAACTAAAACAAACTATTTATAACTATAAGAAAGGTAGGTAATTCTGTTGAAGGCGACTTCTTTAAAATCTGGACACATGTACATTTGAAGTGTAGTCGCTAACAAGTCTTCAGGATAAGTTCAGAAGCTTCTGAACTTTGGTCTCAAATTATCACACTTGGTCGGGTTCATCGTACTCGGGAGCCTTTGATTGTATACCGCTTTAGACTCAGAGGCTCTAACTTGTCTTCTGATTTGAACTTAGACGCTAGTACTTGTTTTCTCCCGTAGGTTTAGAAGCCTTTGATCCTCAACACTTATTTTGATTTTCAACACGGCCTTTTTTTTATTTTTCTTCTTCTATTTCTATAGTTAATCAAATTTAAATAAAACTCATATGATTGAAGTATATTTATTGTGTAAGATACTATTTTATCAATAATAATGTATTTATTGATTTAATCAAAATGAATGAGGATCACTGATTAGAGGAATTGATTATGGTTAACCAGTTAGACCGATTGATTACGGTTAACCAGTTAGGTAACCGGTTACCTCAGTTCCAATCAAGACTAACATTGGACAATAACTAGGACCAAGGATCGACTTAAAAAGCCATTGGCAAAGGATTAGCTTAGTCGGTCTTACCATAACCAGTTATAGAACCGGTTGCAGATTTTGCCTATCTCCAGACTATACTTGCTATATCATAATTTGAAGCAAATTACTCCTTTTGATCGAGCAACTTTGTAAGGGCATTAGGAGATGAACACACCAATGGGGACCACCCACAAACATGCGTCATCTACCTAAATGACCTGCTATCTAATGACCTTCTGATAGGTTTGAGAATATCATTGTCGAACATAAGAATGTTATTTTAATACAGAAAAATGCTTAAAAACCTGTCCGAAGGTCATTGATTTAAAAATCACTAGTTGAGCGATCAATTGGATACAAGTGTCAAATTTTCAATATCCTCGTTGATTGTAGTGTAGTGTTGGATACAAATTCACTACAATCTTACCTGACCTCTTCTGAATACAAAGAAAACATTACTACCAAAAAGCACAAAAGTAAGCTCATATTACATCTGTAAGTTATACATTCCCTACTACCAAAAGAAATCTCCTCAAAATTGGTATTGAAAATTGCAAGATCAAGCACCTGTCATACCAATAAACATAAAAAAGGGTAAATGTCAAAGCAATTGTACCTGAAAGAATAAATCAAATAAAATTCATCATCATGGAGCCTTCAATATGTATTGATGAGAAATTGTTGCTTTCAAGATATACATGTGAATGAAATTACATTATAACACCATTACACACAAGAAAAACATATATGCTAAAAATTCATGGCATTACCTCAACTGGTTTGCAAAACGATGGAAGAGATAGCTGCTGGATCTTTGTGAATGTGTAATCAATTATATACTTTACTATTCATCTGCTCTTTCAGTAGATGCTCTTTGGACCAAGGATTCAAGTTGTCCTGCAACCGAGTCACTTAACTTGGCAGAAGGCAATGATCTAATGCATCCAAGAATGTGCTGAATATCACGAGTGAGCCTGCCACAAACAATTCCCAACATTTCAAAAAGAGATGTTAAAAGGAGCTAAAGAAATAGACCAAAGATACAGAATATGAGACAAGTTTAAAGTTTTGTGTGTTCCTTTTTCCATCTGAAAGGAGCAAAAGCAATTTAGGAGCTGTTTACTAAACAGTAGTGCGACGACTCGTACCATGGTTAGCGCTTACCCGGTAAATTGTTGCATACGATACCATTTTGCTGCATTAAAATCTTACCATGTAAGTGATAGTGTTAATTTTTCCGGTGAGCAGTTACCTAAGTAAGCGTTTGGTAAACGGCCCCTTACTGCCTCTTACCGGATAAAAGACACTTACCCGGTCAGAGATAGCAATCTTATCATGACATCTTGCTATTATTTATACATGTCTCCTTTTTAGCTTTTATTTTGCAAGCTTGGGGGTATTCACATAAACAACCTCTACTCCCCCCCCCCCCAAAAAAAAGAATCTACTTTGTAGAAGCAAGGTCTATGTAAATCCTACCCCGAACTCTAATATGGTGTCAGATTTCACTAGGTTTGTTTGGTTTGGTTTAAGTGCATTTTTGGGTTGTTTGGTGGTGGGGACTGGGGGTGCACCTCCATACAGACTTTATTTTGAGATAAAAGGGGGGGCATAGGCTTGAGATATAAATTCCTCATTAAGTACATTAATTACACTTCTATATTTTGATAAACTATGTCAACAGCTAGGGCACTCAAAGAAGGCACTAATTAATCACTACAAGTTTATAGAAACAACCATTAATCAGTGGCAATCTCTAAATAGTGAAGCATAATCATTTACATCAACAGATCCTTCAACATAGTAAACATCAGGAATAGTATAAAATGTAAAAACCTGGCTTTTGCTTGTGGAGTGCTAATATCCACATGTGAAAATGCATCAGAGATTTGTATGTCGAAGATAATAGTCACTTCTCTGCAAGAGGAAAGCCTCGGATGTAGTTACGATTATAGATTAGTATTGGTGAAAATCATGTGTTTAATTGTCTAGGAAGGAAGGATCACAGTATAACTATATAGCATATGAAAATGTGAAACAGATAAACTGGAGGGCTGATAAGCTCAAATAATTTGCAAGAGATCTAACAGAGACACAAGTACAATCTAACTATATATAATAATTGGCAAAATAACCAGACAGAAATAATCCCAGAAACATAGCTCAAGGGCAGAGCCAGTCCCAGAAAGATAGGAAGGCGACTCTTTCATTCCGATCAAAAATATACCTACCAGTATAGAACCTAGGCTGCAATATTTTTTGAGCTATCGGGTCATCCAATGATTGCTAGCCCATATACATAATATATACGCTCATACAATATCTGTTACGAACCTAAAAACTAATTTTCATGGTGGTGTTTTCATACATGAAACAACACGTGAAACATGCAGTATACATGTTTATTAACCAGTTTTATAAGCCAGGGTCTTCCATGTTAGCAGTCCTAAATAGTCATGATGCATAAACTAAAAGAGTAATTGGATTTATAGTATGATAAACAAAGGCTCACTTGAATATTTCTTGAACATCTGCTTCATGCAAAGTGCGAGAAAGCACACGTTGAAGATATCCAACTTCCTGAAAACAAATGAACCACCAAACCCAATTAGCAAATAACCAAGGCACACATAGCATCGCCATAAGTAGATATCAGCTTAAGCAGATATAAGAAATAATAAGCATTAAATATACTAAGTTATGATCAGATGTTAACATCTCCCAAAGATGCAGTTTTCTAAAGAATGATATTAGACACACAGGTTTATATTTAATATTGTCAATTAGGGTTTGATTAGGCTTTTATAATTTCACTTTGTTAGTAGATCTTGTACTATACTTGTTACCTATTACCACTGGAATTGCGATACAAAAACGGTAAGAATATGTGGAAGTGGAGCCCCATTAGATTACTCTCCAAAAGAGACCTTGAGGGGAGAAGGGAGGTTCACACCTATGACCTATGTTGAGGAGAAATTGTCAAAGTCTAGCCAATGTGGGATTCTAAGGAAACCATTTTTCTTTGCATCAGATAATACAAAGCCTAGCCCCTCCAAAGAAGCGAAAGTAGTCCGTGTTGCAAGCGGTGCCCTTCTTTTATGCCAACCCTGACATAAGGAGACACCTTTGTATTCAGTTCCCGAAGTGGCTTGCTTATCTACTAATTCACTGTTGCATCATGTATCAAACATCCTGTACATTGACTTCTGTTACGATTAACTTTTTCTGCCAATATTGTGATTTGACAAAGTTGGCAATAAAATTGTGATCTGTTGTTGAAAACTATAATTCTTGCCTGCCTTCCCTATAGCTAACCTATTAGGCAGCGTTTGGTTCGCAGAATATTTTTGGATGGAATGAAATCTGTCAAAGGAATTGGAATGAAATGTTATCAGGTTTGACCACATGTTTGGTTGATAGACATTGGAATGGAAGATGTTAAAGATATTGGAATTTGCCTGATAGGTTCACATAATGTAGCTTTGGAATTGGAATGAAATATGGGTAAATGACCAAAATACCCTTTTTTGAAAAAATTTAACCGAAATCCAAGTACTGTTCTAAGCACAGATAAAATTAATTCATTATAGTGCCACTCAATCTTCAAATAATTCGAAAAGAACAACTGATAATAGAAAACAATTGATAATAGAACCTACAAGCTTAAAAAAGTTGAGTTAGGACATTTAACAAACACCTGGTGGGTTAACTCTTCAAATTTTAATCCCATTCAAGATTGTTCCCATAACTAGTGTTGCCACCATGACCATGATCATGCTCTAATCGTAAGCTTTTTCAGCTTCAAATCATAACCACCCAACTTCACAACCTTATCTTCATTGGTTTTCACCTTAAGAAAATCGTTTGAAGCAACCGCACTGATCCTTTCAACCCTTTTCTGGCTCAAAGCAAAGTGTTGTTGAATTGCAATGACTTCCCTTCTCCTGATATCCTGATCTATATTCGTTGCGAGCATGGTGGTTCAGATCGGTGGTGGTCAAAGGTGGTTCAAAACAACGGTGGTTCAGATCGGTGGTGGTCAAAGGTGGTTCAAGACAACGGTGGTTCGATTTGGTGATGAAGTTTTTCATGGAGGTCATATGGTCCAAGTAAATCAGGTATGGAAGATGGGGACAATTTTGTCTTTTTGAAAAGTAGGATGGAATGGAATTGAATTCCTTTCCAATTGTGATGGAATGACCAAATCCATGAGTGGTGGAATGTGTGGAATTCAACTCCATTACCTAGGTAAACCAAATGCTTGAATGAAATTTGGTCAATGGAATTGATCATTCCAATTCCTTCGGATTCCCTCGGAATCCTGCAAAACAAAAGCCCCCTTAGTATTTATAGTATCTCCGTACTCGTGAGCATGCATACCAACCCCTCTCATATCAGCCCTATGCATGTTCATTGATCCTTTCCAAGGCCTTGACTGATCATCTAGAATTAGGCTTGGGCCAGTGGGTCGTTCCCAATCGTAAAACTTAGTATATGATGTTCTCCACGGTTTAACCAAACTTAACAGGTCAAGACCATCCTTTTTTTGGTAGGTGCTTGAAATCTGAAAAGGGGAATTGGTGTTACCTCCCTAAAAGGGGAATTGGTTCAAGTAAACTTTCCAACATTATGTCTCTCTTTCCTGAATTTTGTGCTCTTGTACAGACCGAGTCTCAATTGGAGAATTGTGATTTAAATATAAGCTTTACTCAGAGCAGGAATCTTGCACATTAGAAGGAAAATGGACCTATAACTACCTTGGACTGTCTTGAGTTTCTAGACATTTATCAAGGTTCCTTTGTTGTTCCATTTAGGTCCCTACAATCCTTTGACTACTCCACCTACTCTGCGAACAGATATGTCGATACAACCATGAGGCTTGATACCGTTGTTCCTCACTTCTATTAGATTCAGTTTTACCCTCTTCTAGTGTAAAAGGATGAATGCCCTCGACATCTCTAAGGAAACTAACATGTCTAACAAAATACACATATCATTCTAGAATGTTGAGCTTTTCAAATGATGGTGACTTCGTTAATAGTTCAAGTAGTTACAAAAGACCAGTCAATAAACTAAACTATATCATAATCGACACAACATTTGTTAATAGTTAGCTGTAAGACTATAGTATCTTATTCCCATGCTAGCCGCTTACTCTCCGCAATACACAAATTAACTAGGAAATTATTTTCGTTTTGTCTCAGGCTCTCAGTATTACACTATGCTATGCCTGTTATAATAGTCAAAACCGGAAATCGCAATCACAACTGTCATTTGAAATAGCAGGTATTGCGACAGTAAAAGTGGTGGTATAGTGGTCCAAATAGCGTTCATATAATAATTAGAATTATATATATGTATATATGTGAGTGTGTGATTTGGCAGTCAAAAACCCATCCAGTAGTTATTGAACTTGCATATTAATATGTATTTTTAAGCAGCTAAATACGTACTACTAGCAATTAAAAAGAAATAATCAAAGTCTTGGATGATTTATAAAGTCAAATAAACTAAATTTCAGCTTCAAAATTGACATCATTTCAAAACATTGTTGAGTAACTAAAAAACTCTGAAGTCGTGACATTTGAGAATCTTAACCCAAACCTAAAAGATCTCGAAAAAAGAGCCCGACAATTTGAGCCCAACACTAAATAGCACTATTATTAGCAACAAAAAATTTGAGGTCAAAATGTGGCAGATAGCGCCACTATTAGCGGCACTGCTATATTTCACTGCTATTCTCCTGAGAATTGCGAACCGCTATTGCACTACTACAGCGGCGCGATTAACAGCATGGACACTGATGCAATACAACAAAATTTTGGGGACACACCTTTCGTATACGAGTAAATGTAAAAAAATGGTGTGCCATGGCGGCAAGGCATGTATCCCATGTATTGTGAACCCACATAGCAGCCTTTTAAGGTGATGTGCTGTCGTGGCGTGGCGTGGCGTGGCATGCTGTCGCCAAGGTGTCTTTTAATTTCGTTTTGACCTTGTGATCTTCCTTAAGCTTTTTATATCAATATATTATGTCTTCCTTTTATATGAACTTAAATTGCTCAGTATGATTAAGTAATAGTAGTAACAAATATGTATATATTATATAGAGATGGGTTATTATATAACCCATTATATTTGTACAACCAATACAACTTAATCTCAACCGTCCATTTATTTTGATTAATATGTAATTTCATAAAAGTTTTGATTGTTTCCTAATATAAAGTATTGATCATAATTAATGAACCTTATTCATCTTCCATAAATATTTAAATCATAATAAATGAACTCTCAACATTTCCATAAATATTTCAATTTATTGGGTTGCATTGGTTGTACAAACTCATATTATATATACACATATAGTATATGTTAGAATGTAAATACGATATATATTTACTTAGGCCCATTAAGCCCATGGGGGGTGTTTGGTTTGCAGGATTTGGATTTAAAATCCATTACAATCTTGCGTTTGGTTTGAAGGAATGGTAGGATTTAAAATCCTGGGATTCATTTCAAATCCCGTGAACTATGGATTTGAGAATCCTTTGAAAATACACCGGATTTTGAAATCCATTCCCATGGGATTTCATTCTTGCCCTTCTCGTCCATTGCGCACCGTCTCCGTTGCCACCGCCGTCGCCCTTCGTCTCCGTTGCTCACCGTCGCCGTCGCCCTTCGTCTCCGTCGCCACAGATTATATCGCTCTTCCATTGCTCACCGTCGCCGTCGCCGTCGCCCTTCGTCTCCGTTGCCACCGCCGTCGCCCTTCGTCTCTGTTGCCACCGCCGTCGCCCTTCGTCTCCGTCGCCCACCGTCTCCGTCGCCGTCTCCCACTGTGGTCCTCGCCGATAAACCGCCTTCTCCCATCACTCAACAAGTAAATCCCTTTTCCCCTTTTCCCCTTTTCGATTTCTCTCTAAACTATGAACACAGATTAGGTTAAATCCTTCAATTTTGACAGATTAGGTTGAATATACATGAACACAAATTAGGTTAAAAAAATTATACGAAGTATTAGAAGGTGATCGGAATAAGCCTGTACAGACCTCGAAGATTCTGGACTTCTTGATATGATCGGAATAAGCAAAGGAAAATTGATATGATCGGAATAAGCCTAGTTTCACCCTCCAAATCCTACAAACCAAACAAAGGAATGGATTTCAAATCCAATCCAAATCCTGCAAACCAAACGCATGATGTATTTTAAATCCAAATCCCTCCTGGAATCCAAATCCCTCAAAAACATTCCTGCAAACCAAACGCACCCTTAGGGTTTCTCTTTTGTCTAGGTTTTCTGTCTATATATATCCTTGTATCCTTTTTTTGTAATACACAAGTTAAAAGCAATAATATAATCCCTAATTACATGGTAGCAGAGCTCGGTTTTGTAACAATCACTAGTTTCGCCGATCGAAATTTTTGTTCTTCGATTAGGATTCTTGTTCTTCTAGTTTCAGTTTCTTCCTTGTGTGGGATCGGTTTTGCTGGTTGTTTGTGGGCTTCGGTTTATCCCTGTGATCTGTTCCTCATGGCTGCTGTTTGCTAACTCTCAGATCTGGTCGTGTTTCAAAGAC